TCACACCCTTAGCTCGTAGTGTAGACGTAGCCTGAGAAACATTGGGATAATCTCCTACTCTCTCCCCGCCACTTCCTTTTAATTTTATGGCAGCCTCTGAACTCCTGGCTTCCAGCTGGAAGTAGACAAGCCAGAATATCATGTGTAAAGCTGTTCTTGGGATATGTCCAGTACATCCTTTTGTTTGCCTTTCTATCTAGCTGTCTGTCCCAATGCAACTTGTCAGTTGCATATGCAAAGAAATGAGGATCACAGCGATTCCCCTCCTAGGAAACTCTCTATGACTCTTTCAATCACCTGCAATCTGAAGCAAGGTCAGTGCTTAGTGGCCATCTTCCAGTGGAACACAGTGACTCAGCTAGTAAGAAAAGTGTAGGCAAAGAGAGATCCTTAGTGCACCAGGCTGGAGGTAACTTTACCCATGGGGAAAGAGTCCCATAGCCTATCATCATCATCTGAGAAGGCAGCATGGGAAAACTTCCAGGAAAAGCTGCTCCAATCAAATCCCTCAGCCCACTTTTGCAATCTCACGAGGTTCAGAGATGCACCCAACCTTTAAAGTGCTTGTCTAGACCGAACCCCAAGCCTTCTGAGGTTCTCCCATCTCCATCTCTGGCTAATTCTTGGTTCTTAGGCTTATTACACACACAATTATATCAGTTAGGGATGGCCAGGAATATGAGGCAGATCCTCAGCTGGGGTAAATCAGCATTGCTCCATTGTAGTAGATGGAACTGAGTCCATTTTCACCAGTCAAGGATCTGTCCCTGGGAATTTGTGCCTTCCCCGCCTACTTTTAAATGTGCCACGCGATGGGGCTCCCACCACTCATTCTGGGAGGTGATTATGCAGGCTAATAGATCTCACTGTCAGGAAGTTATCTTCTGAAGTTTAGGCAGAATTTTCCCCTTTTCCTAATCTCCTCTGGTGACTCCCAGTTATATTCCCCTCGAACCAATAATTCCTCTGCTTCCTGTGTGGAGAACTTAGGTGCTGACCTTGCTATGCCCAGAGTTGCAGACATCTCTTGCTGGATGCCACCGGGAGCTCAGCAGGGTTCCAACTCTGCTGAATGTGCCCATGCAGTGGAACGCAGAGGCAGCGCTGTGTCGCTCTGTATCCTGCATGCAAGTTCTTCCCTCCCTCCGCCCTCACAACTATCTCCCTGGAACTGAGACACATCTCCGGGCGCATGTGACAGATAATGTGGCTCAGTGCCACATAATGCATAACAAGATCAGATCTGTTCTGGTTGGGTACAAAGGGTCCTACTCAACAAACCACTTTAATTTCCATTGTGCGAGCGGAATTTTATCAGGGTTCTAATGACGCCACTTCATAAAGACAGGTAGCGTTATCGCTGCTCACCCACTCCGCCCCCCCTCACCCCCGATAGCGATAGACAATTTCCTTGTTTTTACATTACAGCCACACGGCTATGGGAGAAGATAAGGGGCAAGATTGCAATGTAAGGGTGGGGGAATACACATCCCCTTGTCAAAAATAACTCAGATGAAAGGAATGGGATTAATAGTAGGACAGCAATATTTAGCTGGGCTCATTTCAGACCCACCAATGTTCCTTCTCCAAGGAGGGCAGTTATTGGACAAAGAGGGTAGCAGGGTGAGTGCCTGCCTTGCTGCTCCCAAGTTGGGCCTGATCTAGTAATGAATAACAGCCCCCAGGCTGTCCGTCGGCTATCTTTCCCCAGCAATCAATGCACCTCTGGAGGAGTCAGAGTCTCCCTGGCCTTGCACCATGGGTAGCCATTTACATTAGTGCAAAAGTGAGAGCGGCGTGGTTGCAAAATGCTGGCATTCACCCCTGTACACCACCACCACACAGTGAGCCAGTGCGTTCTGAGTTGGTAGCGTTTGACACACGCTTTGTAAGAGGGTGCAGATTGCAGACTGATTGGGAATCAGGCCCTTTATTTAGAACTGGATTAGCGGTCTAGGTATATGGAATCCTGCCTCAGCACAGGGAGATGATTTAGATGGACCTGAAGTCCATTCCAGCCCTTCATTTCTGTGATTCTATGAACTGGAGGGTGGGGGTCAGTTGGGGTGACCTAGGATGGTGAGCCAGGAGTAGGAGACAGATGAGGGGGGTTCCCTCACAACTATGGGGGGCGCCAACAGCAGGAGTCAAATCAGAGGATCAGGCTGTGTTTCCCATCCATGAGTGGGGAGCCGGGAACAGGGGACAGATCAATGAATCCAGACTTCCCTGATCCCCTGAGCAGAGAAGGGATTGGGGAGCAGGCGGCATGGTAGGATCGTGATGCTAGCACTGAGAGTTGGTTTCGTTACCCTACTGTGAGTATCAACTCAATCTTTTAAAGGCAGAGGATCTGACCCTGAAGCCTTTATGCAGGCAAAACTCACCCTGGCTTTGCTAGGCATTTGCCCTGCCTCTGGGCTGCCAGATCAGACCTCTTGTGGCTGCAAGGCAAGCTGCATTGGGCTGTGCACTGGAACTGGCAATCTCAAACAAACCCACAAGTCTCCTTATACAGATTCGGATTTAACGTGGAACCTGCCCTAGCTGAAGAAGGGACCACTGGACCCAGGACCCTCGCATGTATTATTACCACCATTTGCTTAACATTTGCTAAATGCGAGAAGTGTGGCCGGGACTACCCAAAGCACAAAACTCCCTGCCCTGAAGAGCTCATGGGGCTTATACTTTAATTGCTGGCCCAGGAATAAGGATCTGCACTACCTGCCTTGTGTGCCCCATTGGTTCAGGACCAGCATGGCCGTGTGAGGGGGTGAAAGGGAAGGAGATTCCCACAGTCTCAGCCCTCTGAGAGCCTGTGAACAGGAGCCTGAGTGTCCGAGGTGCTGAGTGCCCGCTGCTGCCCACTGAGACCAAGGGGACCTGCAGGTTCTCACGCCTTCATTCTTTCCCATTCCAGTCCTGGATAAGGGCATACATTGGAACTGAGCACATGGCATCCCCTAGGGCCATCACCACTGGCCCACGGCCTGCAACCTGTTCAAGACCTCCTGCACAAAGGGCATTTCCCTTCCATTCAATGCCCGATCCCTAGTATCCACAGCTCTCATGCACTCCCCGCCCAAAGGGGCTTGGCTCTCCTTTGGTCAGTTTCTCCTTGCCATTGCTGATATCCCCAGGGCATGACTTTCTCTGGGCACAACCCTATCATGCCTGGAGTCTTAACCAGGTACTAGAGGGAGCAAGGGACTTGCTGAGATCTTTCAAGCCCATTTTTGTTCCAGGCTCCAGCACAGAGCAAGAGGCAGAGCAGGAGGGAGAGACCTGGTTCTTGTCCAGGCATCGGAGCAGAGGAGGGGGAGAGAGAAGACAATTGATGTCACTGCTAAGCATAGCAACACTGGAATCACACAGCCTTATTTACACTGAGCACCCGGGGGCATGGCTGCTACCCTCCCACTCCCCTGCAGCCTGAGCCTCCACTCTGTTACTAGGGCGGATTTCATAGCAGTGCTACTGGTGATGGGGGCAGGGGGAGTCTATGACGGAACACAATAGCAGAGGAAAAACAAATCCCCATCAATCTGCTAGAAACAAGAGCTCACCCTAACCTCCCAACTCAGCCTTGCTAGGCACATGATTATACACTGCACAGCTCTGGCAGGCTGGAGTCACGAAACATCAAAAGAGGGCTGGGATTTTTAGCATGCCATGGGGGGAGGGGTGTATAGGGTGGCGAGTGCCTGCATGGTGTGTGTGAGCCTATGTGGGTGGGGTGTGTGGGGGGGTGGAGAAGACCTTGCCAACAGCAAGGCAGCAAGACCTTGCCAACACCATCAGTTGTCCTGGTGTTTCTCCTGCTGATACCACGGGGCAAGAGAGGGGAGCAGGCACCCTATCCCCAACCCCAGCTTGCTTAACCAACCCTTTGCTACAGCAGCCTGATGAGACTGCTCCCTTCTGTGCTTAACACTGACACATGGGCTTCACCCCTTGCTACCCTGCCTCCACCTCTGGGTGCTGGATGACAGACAGACAGCCATCTGCATGGGCTTTCCTTTCCCTGGGCTCTGCGGGCTCTGGAGGGTGGATGGTGGGTGGTTCTTTTGCTTGTTTGCTTGCTGCCAGATGCTCTCCAGAGCAGGCATCCCCTTTGCAAAAGCACTGGGTACATTTGCAGTGCTATTCCAGAGTCAATGTCCACTGTATTTGTCAGCTGCTCCCAGGTTTTGGCTTGAGGATCACTTTTTACTTTGCAGTCTCTTGTGCTCTGCTCCGCTTTCCCCTCTCCCATCTGCGAGCTGAGCTCTGTGCTGGCAGGGGTGGAGGTAGGAGGCTAATGGACCAGGCTAGGTTATTTAACACAGCCTCTCTCCCACATCTAACTTCTCTCGCTTAATGGTTTTCATTCATCTCAGCCACAGAAGGGTTAATGTGCTGAAAATGTTGGTTCCTGGCCAGATCACATCCTCTTGGTGTTCTTATCCAAGGCTGGATTCTGATCTCACTGCCACCGGTAAAAGTCCACCGCATCTCCATTGCTTTCACTGGGGTTATTCCAGATTTACACCAGTCACTGAGAGCCGAATCTGGCCCTGGCTCCATTGATTCCAGTGGAGTTTCCAGATTTACACCAGTGTAAATTAGATCAGAATCAGGCCCTTAACATCTGTGCCACAGAAAACCTTCCTTTCTATCAGCTGCCTTATCCGTCCCTGACTCAATCTTGTTTTCCCCACCTGTTCATCTTAGCGCAACTGAAACACACAGGAACCACAGCATCCCCCCCATGCACATCCCCCCACACCCCTTGCCCCTTTTTTCTCAGCATTTAGCATCTGTCCTAGAAATAAGAGGGAGAGAGAGAAAGAAATGCACTGGGAAAAAACAACCACCACCCAACTCTGGGTGCCAAGGCTTCCCCATCCTCAGCCGAGAGTCGCACCATGCAGCCATGAATGCACCCATGCTTTCCCCATCTCCCCTTGCCTTCTGTGCACTGACGATGCCCGCCACCAAATAGATGGATCCCAACTTACCCTTGGACTCTCCTCTGGTCTTCTAGCGCCGCTGTCATTTGCCTGTCTGCTCCCTGACACGGACATGCACACATCAGGTTCAGACGGAGCCCCGGAGCTGACAGACAATGGGGAGCTACGGTTTCCTCTGCAGCCGGCGTAATGGACCAGCCAAAGCTGAGGAGTTTCTGCTCTATGCCCCCCACACCCGACCTCCCCACACACACACTTTATTTCTGTTCTCAGAGATGATGGCCAGCCAATTTTCCCCTCTCTCCCGCTCTCTCTCCTTCAGCTACTTATCTGGAAGCAGCAGGGAGGGACCATCATTCTTCCCCCTCTCACGTCGCATTTGTAAGCACACACACTCCACTCTCCTTGGCTTTCAGCAGCTTCCCACCACCTCCTCCTCCTCTTTCTCCATCCTCCCTCCTCCTCGCTGGAGCCCTGTCACTGCAATGTGCCACCCACCTGAATCAGCTCCTGCCTGCTGTGCCACTTAACCCCTGAGGCGCCAGCAAGCTCTGCCTCGTAAACAAGGGGGGCCAGAGAGGGCCGGAAGGCCAAGAGGCGCCTGGCAGAAGCAGGGAGCCAAGCAGATTGCTGGCAGGGCTGAGCCTCACAGCACAGGCAGGAGCATCAAAGGACTCAACTGCAGCTCGTCCTGTTTAAATCGGTTTGAAGATCGGCGCCTCTGGGGACACAGATGGCTTCCCTGCGTCCCTCAACGTGACACGTGTCTCTCTCTGTCTGAGATCTTCCCCCGCCCCGCCTCCCCCGTTTGGGGCTGTTGAAAAGGCCGAGATGCGGAGGGAAGCCTTTGTGGGATGAACTAGCAATTGGTTTGTGCCCGTCCGGCTTGCCAGGGCCCTAGCCCCAGCGTGCCCATGGCTCCTCCCGCTCCCATCACACAATACTGGCTTGTGGTGTCATGGTGCCACGCTGCCCTGGGGTTCCTTATGTTTCTCGGTGCTAGCATGGAGACCAGTATCTTGGCACTGAGGCACTGTAGGGCTCCCCACACTATTCTGGTGTCATGGCAGGTTGGCACTGAAGCAGCTCTGGGTGTCAAGGGGTCAGCAGCCACAGTGGCGCAAGGAGCCCTGGGGTACTTGCTATGGCTTGTGGCACCCTGGTGCGGCAGAGGAACCAAGAGACACCTCCCACCTCATTGCAATGAGCCAACTCAAAATGGCATGGCTCTGTGGCATCCTCGTCTGCTTCTGCACCCTCTTCACCAGCTGACACATTTATTTATCACTAGGGCATGCTGGGGGCTCAGCTGCTCTGTACCTCTCCCGGCTTGTCTGGGTCATGGCGTCTTGGCAAGGAGGACCTTCCTTTTCTTTTGCACCAGCCTGGCTCAGGGGCACACTGGGCCTTGGCATGGAGTTGGCTGGGGTTCCTCACACTTCTCTTTGTCTGGGGATTTTTAAAGCCTCACGAATTGCAGGCTCCACTCTGCCACCATTTGCTTCCCACCCTGCTGCAACTTCTAGGCCTTGTGGAACATCTAACAAGAGACAGTGTCACTTTCCTACCGAGCCACATGGAAGTCACCTGTGCCCTGGTGTCTTCCTCCATCTTGCCCCAGGTGGAACCAAGCAGGCCTCAAACAAACTGCTTCTGGCCCACATCCTCACTTGCCACTTCTAAAATCCTAGTGAGTTCATTCAGATCTTGTTCCCTGTAATTACATCGCATGCTCAGCTTGGCTGCTAGTGGCAGGAGTGTAGCAGAGTTTACTTGAGGTTGGGCTGGGTAGAAATCTGAGCTGGCTGTATTCAAGGCCTAACCTTTCAGAAAGGAAGGATGGCTCAGGGTTTAGGGTGCTAGCTTGGGACCTAAAATACCTGAACTGAATACTTTCCTCCAACACAAGTTTCTTGTGAGACCCTGGGCAAGTCCCTGAGCCTCTCTGAGCTCCTATAAAATAGGAATGATAACGCTGTCCTACCTCATGGGGGTGCCGTGAGGATAAACACAGTAAAGATTGTGAGGCATTCAGATAGCTAGTAATGAAACCCAAATATGTACCTCAGGCAGAGTTCTGAGTTCAGCTTTGGCAGATAAGAATTTTCCACCATGTCATGGTGCTGGCCCAGAAAGGCCTGTGCCCTAAAATCACACTCTTGGCGTGCAGGTGAAAACAGAGTCACAACTGTATGGGGGAGAAGAGCCTGGGGCGTCAGGACTTTGACAGCAGCACACAGGGAGAAAGCAAGGACTCAGCTGCCTTCCTACTTGGTTACATCTCCCCTGGAACCTGCATTTCAAGGATGGGCTTCCTCTGGGATCGTTGACCTACAAAATGACTGAAAAATCACTCCCTGACCCCACCATGTCCCAGAGGCAAGGGATTGTGGGCGTTCTTGGGGGTTGCAGCGAGGGAGAGGGAGTACACTCTATGTTGCAACATCATATCAAGAGGACCTCAGATTGCAGAGGCCAGTGTCCTCTTGGCAGGTTGTGTTTGTGTTTCCTTCCCCCACCTTTCCAACCATTTCTCTCTCCACTTGAAAACACTGAAAAGAAGCCACCACGCCTAAGGGGCATCACCTGCAGTAAGAAGAAGTAGCCACACATTGGAAACAAAGAGTTGGAGGAAACCACAGCAGAGACAACCACCTGAGCCGCCCACCTTTTTACAATGTGGTTATGCCATAGCAGGCTGCACAATTCAGATCTGGATCCAGATTTCTGACAGCCCAAAGTCCAAGGTGTTTGGATGCAGGGTTTTGGTCAGGCTCATTTAAAAATTGGGGGCTATACAGAATTTTTTAAATCCAGATCCACCTTTGGAGTCTGAACCACTCCAAATGTCTGGGTTGTTCTGACCTGTGATTTTAGCTCAAGCCCATTCAAATAGGCATGGGACCATGTGCAAAATTCAGATCCAGATATGGGTTTTGAACAAAGCCAGTGAGAGCCTGGAACTGGGGTTCTGGTTTGGGGCCCATTTCTTGTCCCATGCTGATGTAGCTGGCTGACTCTTGTCCCATGCTGGTGTAGCTTGCTCTTCAAGACCATCGTTGCCAGCTGACATCTGACCTACGCCATCCCTTCACAGCCCCAGATGGCTGATGTCCTGGAGTTGTTTGCATCCTGGATGCCCTAAGAATAACAATGACCATTGTCTTTCTGTTTCATGCCTTTCTCTTCCTCATTAGACTGGAGATGGGATTTGGCTTGGTTCCAGACTACTCACCTGGGGCAGTGGGCTGGGCAGTGAGATGGGGAATACACTAGAGAGGGAGACCCGGGAAGGGACTGCAATGACCTGATTTTGTTGGCCATGCTGCAAATAACATAACGTTCCTGCCCGTGTGCCAGAGCAGATGGGTGATGCTGTGGCACTTTGGCCCTGATTCAACAAAGCATGTAAGCATGTCCTTTACGGGACTTAAGTGCCTGCTTAAAGTAAAGCAAGTGCTTAAATCCTTTGCTGAATGAGGGATTGACTGTTGAATCAGGGACTTTTATTTAGCAGGCATCCCTTGTGAATAGCAACAGATGAACCTCCAGGCAGGGTTTGGCTTGGAGAAGTGCCTGAATGGCTGACTGAATGCCTGAGTCTGAACCCACAGGAATCACTGGGAGTTTTGACATGGGTGTTAATGGATGCAGGGTTAGGTCTCTTGTTATTATTCAAACTGATCGAGCTTCTTGATTTTGCAGAGCTGACCCGGATATCCCCTGAGAACACCTTTCCCCATGAGATTCCCAGGCCTCTGGTCAGTTTGGAAAACCCTTAAAAATGTGGTGGTTGTATTTGGGCAATTCCACTGCCAGAACTGAGGAGAGTGGAGAGGCCTGGACATCGGAGGTGGGAGAAAGCTGGTGTCCTGTTAGGTTTGCAAAACCTGGTCAGGTGGATGCCAAGTAGTGAGGGCCCCATCCTGCAGGGTGTCTAGCACCCTCAGCTCCCAGGTAACTCAGTGAAATGGAAGGATTCAGGGAGGCACTCAGCACTGGCTTTGCTGCTGTGCTTAGGGACGCTAAGCAGACACGGCAGGGCTGAACTGGGCCATGCTAAGCAGTCGCTGACGTTCTGGGCATCCAGGGCACCGCTGGGTGGCTTGCTGTGTTTCAGATGGACATAACTCAGATCATGTACGCCAAGTTCAATGATCTCCCAAGCACTCCTTGGGAAAACAGGTTTCATATTTCCTAATGATATTTTGAAGGGAAGAGAGAGAGAGAGAGAGAGAGAGGGGAAACAGGGAAGGCCGCCTTTAGCTATCTGTCAGCAACCCCATCAAGCATACCTTACAACAGGGCTCTCAATTTTTTCAGAGCGTGGACCGCAACTTAAAAGAGATTGCTTTATGGACATCCATCCTGCCATTCATGGTCCCCAACACCTGATCTTCCTTTGAACACTGGATAATAATCCTGTGCCAACTACAGCCATTGCTTCCTTACAAAAGTGCTATTAGGGAAATCTTCAGTGCATTTGTAGCTTCTTTTAGTGCATCTTAGGAGGAGGAGCCAATGCCCCATGGCCAGACAGCTCTCTGCAGACCACAGTTTGGGAATGCTCTTTGTTTGTTTGTTAGCCCTACGGTACAATGTCTCTGGCTGAGGGAGTCAGAGAGCTGCTGGATTAGCCAAGCTATTGGTTCACTTGGTGGAAAGGAATGGTATGTGCCGACCCAATGAAGAAAGGGAGCCCATGAACTGGAGCAGAACCTGCCTCCCCTCGCCCCCATGGTAATCCTCCGTGGCTGTTAAGATGAATCACCCTAAAGCTCTGACTTTCTTCACACAACACACAGGCAACCTGTGGAATTCCTTGCCAGAGGATGTTGTGAAGGCCAAGACCATAATAGGGTTCAAAAAAGAACTAGATAAATTCATGGAGCTATTAATAAATCCAGGGCTATTAGCCAGGATGAACAGGGATGGTGTCCCTAGCCTCTGTTTGCCAGAAGCTCAGAATGAGTGATAGGGGATGGATCACTTGTTGATTACCTGTTCTGTTCATTCCCTCTGGGGCACCTGGCACTGACCACTGTCAGAAGACAGGATACTGGGCTAGATGGATCTTTGGTCTGACCCAGTAGGGCCATTCTTATGTTCTTATGTTCCACTGCTTTGTGCCTGTGCAAGGCACTTACATCCGTACAGAGCTCCAGTTCCGTATTGTTTTAGGCCCCCTTTGCCCAGGCATAAATAACGGCATGAGGTCAAGGCAATGGAGAACTGAGCTCCCTGACTCATGCCGTGGCAGTGGTGAATGTGTGGTTCACAGACTCCCGTAAATGTTGCTGTGAGAGGCTCCTAGGGTTGTGAGTTGTATCTTCTTATCTCCTAAAGCATACGCTCCTATAGCTGGCTAAAGCAAGGAGCTGCTGAGCCCAGCACAGAGACAATCCATTTAAAAGATCCCAGCCAGATCTAAGAGCAGAGCCAGATGGAGGCATGGATGAAATATGACAGCACA